ATTTGTAATATTACATGTGGTACAGCATGCGCTGATATCCAGTATAATGCCTACTCTAAGAAAATCACTGCATACCTAATGACATGCGGTACAGCATGCGCTGATATCCGGAGTAATTGTGAAGAAACACACACCCAGTTAACATGTGGTACAGCATGCGCTGATATCCACCTGTCTCTTATACACATCTAGATGTGTATAAGAGACAGAAGATAAATTATCTTGGAATTCCGTATTTCCGAGATAAATTATCTTGGAATTCCGTCTTTCCAAGATAGGCTATCTTGGAAATCCATCTTTCCAAGATAAATTATCTTGGAATTCCGTCTTTCCGAGATAATCTATCTCGGAAAGACGTCTTAATAAGTTACTTATTCCATGTTTCCATGATAATTATCTTGGAAACTCGGAAACGCGGAAAATTATCTTGGAAACTCGGAAGGTCACTTTAAGCTTCCGTACATAGGCGAGCGTGCCGTTTGAACCAGTGCCGACATTATGGCTATAGCTTGCGGCGCCCCTCCTAACCGCTCGGCCATTCGACTCACTCATAAGTAATATATATAAAATAATAATAATAACAATAATAATAATAATAATGATAATAATAATAATGATAATAATTATAATAATGATAATACTAATAATAATAATAATAAAGGTGCTCGAATAATGCTTTAATAAAGAATTAATACTTCATACTTCAATAGGATTATTCACGATAGTGTGATTAATCAGACATTTAGTTGTTGATTAATTTATAGAAATATATAATAGGTATATACCATTAATAATGATTCAGCATATATATATATATATATATGTATATATATACGGTATATATGTAATTATTAATTATAACTATAATAAAAACTATAAACTAATTAAAATATGTTTATCATCGCTATTTCCATGAACAGGCAAATACTATAATCGCGATTGAAAAATTACTACTTTTTTTATACCAATTTCTGACCTGAAAAATTCAATGCAGGATTTCTTGTATTTATTAATTAAAATATATTAATAAATTGTACTTATAGGTCATAATGTTTATATCAATCTATTAATTAATTAGTAATTAAGTAATTGAAGATATTACTTAAGATTATATTAATTAAGATATTCGTAAAGTTCGTGTGAAAATTACTTACATAATTGCAGTTTATTTATACGGCATTTCGACAGATGTCACCTCGTGTGAACCATCCTGAGCTCTGCTTACCAAAAATACGCGGTAATCGCGCGATAGTATTAGAATTTGCATACACGAAAACACTTATTATAATATATAGTAATCAGGGATTTCAAAAGTTTTGAAAGTAGGAGGCTGAATCTGAAAAGTAGCAGGCGCACTATTTATCATCAAAGTTCAGAGTGGGGGGTGGGCATGGTCGGGAAATTTTTTTTTTTCTAGATGCCAAGAAATGGCCTCTCCTGCATTCTTGGAGCTGTTTATGGATATATTTTATTAAACAAAATAATGTTTTGTAAGATTTTTTGGTTTTATTCAGCTGGTCATAATGTTGAGTTGTATCATACTGTACTAATATACAGACATATACAAAAGTAATAATTTGTAATAAGTGAATTTATTATAAAAAAAATAATCCAAAATGACTGATATGACATTACTGAAGTACAGTAAAACATTTCGTTTCTGCAAAAGGTAGGTATTTATTGTAGTAACAGGCCCAGATTACTGTTTCACATACTGTGGAAAATAATAAATAGAAGTACTGTATATAAAGGTACTTGTTGCATGTAATCAATTACCATTCCCTTTCCTTATTTTAACATATTTAATACATAGAACATTCTAGAATAACATTTAATTGATCAAAGAAACTGTGTAAACCACATTGGTAATTTTAGGAACACATGACACCATGTAGAATCCAAGAGTAATATATGGAAGCTTCTGTAATCTTGGGTACTTTAGAGGCAAATAAGTCTAATTGGTTAATGATGATGTAAGGTGACCAATGAGGAACTTAGGCAATATAGAATGCTCTGGTGTTGTACAGCTAGGGTATATAAGCTGACAGTTTTATCTTTATTTCTATATTGATACCGGATTCTTGTTGGAGTTTATACAGAATAAAAGTTTATTTGAGAGTTGTTTTACAACATTGTGAGCTGTGTTTATATTTTATACGTCAAAGAAGGATTCCTAGTCATTTCTATACCGCTCGGAAATACGTCAAGTAGGAATTCATGACATTGCATATTAATTGTGTGGTTGCTCCTGGATATAATCAGCTACAACTTTATCATGAGTTGGAGTCTGAAAAATAAAACAAATAAATAAATAAAAGCATCACTAAATACCTTTTTGGACAAATCTGGCTAGGTCTGTATTAATAATCCAGTGAAAAACTTATTTTATAATGTATTTAATTTATTATAATAATTATTGTAATAATAATAATATAATAATAATAATAATATAATAATTATTATTATAATTATAATTATTATTATTATGATTATATTATAATAATCAAACCATTGCAATATGTATAAGCTTATATAATTTAATTTAATAATTGAAAAGAACAATCCTACATAAGTATCAGTAATTAGCATTCTACATACTTAATTACCTTTTTTGAAATTGCCCTCAGCCAATAGGTCTTCAACATGTGGCTGACATCATCTTCAGCTACATGATCATCATGATTGCTCAAATCATCATCTGGAAAAAAATTAATGATTTTTTTTAAAGCTTTAAAAAATATCATATACCAATAGGAATTACAGTACTACTACTCCTGGTACTGTAGACAAGCTTATAAGATAGGCCAGGAGTTAAATTACAATTAATTTGTCAGTCGGCCCCTGTCACGTGACATGTTTGTTATTTTGTTTTGCTTAAATCTATCATAAGTTTTTATTAAGTACAATTTACTAGGCCTATGTATGGTGAAATAATCTTTTTAAGTAAACTATGTGTAGGCTATCCACGATAATTAATTGCTCTATAGCTAGCCTCTTCTTCTAGTGAAAATAGATATAGTAGAGGCTCTCTAGGTCTAATGAGTGAGCAAAACCTCGTGGGCCTTTGCAGAGGCCCATCAATCGTCATTCATGATCAGACTCATGAATCATTTAAGCTGTTTTGTTAATTCACTACCATCACATGTTCATTAAAATACTTACCCTTTTTGGCCTTTTTTGAGAAAAAAAACCCCATCAATTTTCTCTTGCTTTACAACTTCAGTGTCATTTTCCGCGATCTCCGACTACAACTTTTCATAAACAAAAGATTTGATTGGACAGTGTAAGACGATCCAATTGGAAACCGTTTAACAGCTTGTGTTAGGCTCAGTTTTATTATCATGAGGTCAGTTAAGTGTCAGAGGTGACGATGAGTGCGAGATCTGTCAACACAATGTTGTTTTAGCAACAAGTGCGGCGAGATCGCCAATCAAACAGATACATTATCATCATCAGTGTCACATCGGATTTTAAAATAAACAAGCATTAGACAATTGCTATGATTTGAGTAAATGCTGTCTCTTATACACATCTAGATGTGTATAAGAGACAGTTTTGGAAGAGCTAGATAACTTGAGCAAATTATTTGACCCAACGAAAGATGATTTAGACAAATACCTGTCTCTTATACACATCTAGATGTGTATAAGAGACAGGAGGAAAGCTTTTAAAAAATGGCTGCGTTTGCAGGTAATTTACAATAAAATATTTGAAATTGTAAAGGATGTTTATTGTTAGCAGGTTGAATTCGTAGTCCTGAAATTCAGGAGATCATCTGCAAGGACAAAGTGATTAAAAATTAGAGTAGGGTCTCCTATTACTAGTCTAAGCCTAGCCTAGGCCGTAGGCCTAGGCTTAGACTAGTAATTTGAAAACTCGGCGTTTGAAACGTAGCTGAATGAACTGATTTATCACTGCATGGTTCGGTGTACAGAGTAGTTGTATGAATTGTAGTACAGTAATTTGAAAACTCGGCGTTTGAAAAGTAACTGGATGAACTGATTTATCACTGCATGGTTCGGTGTACAGAGTTGTATGAATTGTAGTAATTTGAAAACTCGGCGTTTGAAAAGTAGCTGAATGAACTGATCTATCACTGCATTGTTCGGTGTACAGAGTAGTTGTATGAATTGTAGGAATTTGAAAACCCGCAGTTTGAAAAGTAGCTATATGAACTGCTTTATCACTGCATGGTTTGGTGTTCACAGTAGTTAAGCGAAAAACAACTGAATGGATTGGATTCACGCTCAATGGTTGGGTAAACGAAATGTTTTCTGTGTTGGATGATGTTGTTTTAACAGAAAGACGTGAATAATAGATGTTTGTCTTGACGTCGAATTAAGTAATCTATGACTGATCGGTTTCAGTATTCATTAGTCAGTTTGAGTTTATATTAGATGGTCTTGAATATTGTGGTTTGCTTTAGGTAGGCACTTCAATCGCGAATCACTTTATCAGTGAACGAAATCCCGCACGCTGAGGTCACCATGCCATAAAAATGTAAAGTCAATTTTTGAACTATTATAATTTAAAAACTACTGAACGTAATTCATTATAATTTCGGATCCTGTATTTCACATATCTCATCTCTAAATATTGAAAACGGCATTCAAAAATATTGTATAGTTTTCCCGTTATCGTAAAATAAGTGACGCACCTTCATTTCATTCCAGTTCCCACTTCCCACTAACTCCGTGTGTTAGCATACAACGCTCATTCGGCACCGTGAATTACGACTTTTGTAAACAACGTTCTCTGCATGACGTTTTGAAAAAGCAGAATCCGGACATTGTGATTGGTCCTAACGCACCCATGTGATCGTTTTCTGAGAGATCCGATCTTAAGCTTTGTTGTCGTCTTTGTTCGGAGAAAATCCATTCATTTATTAATATAGTACGGTTAGTTTAAAAAGTTCAATAATTTTTTTGGAGGTCGAAACTTAACCGAATCGTTCGCGAACAAGGTATGTATGAAAATATATTATTATAACTACTACTTGGCGTTATTAAATTTGAGAAATAATTAATAACGAACGGCGGCTAGAGATATTAAAATGTGTCTTTCAATTGTGTGTGGCGGTCGGTGCTAGGCCCTTCGCCGCAGAGCGTAGACTTGGTGCAGTGTAATTAGACACCGCCTGAACATCGTAAATTCATCGGGTTATGAATCTTGTTACGATTCTCGTCCGAACGTGTTTTCAGGCCTAGGTTAGGTTGCATTCTATTGCTAATTATATATGGTATGTGCACAACTGCGGTGTATATTCTTATTTTAGGATTGTAATGTTTATTTAATAACTTTACTTAAGTTAATGTTAATGTTTTAGGTCTATCATTTTCGATGTTTTCTAAAGCGGTTCACGCTAGGGATAGGCTTAGGCCTATGCCTTTCTATAAAGAATATATACTATCAATTAAAATATTAAATAGGGCCAATGCCTGTTATATGGCTAGTAACTAATTATTATATACTGCACATATATATTTTCTACTAATAGGCCTACTAGGCCATATATATTTTTATAAAGTATGTTAGTGTTTTTATTACTATAATTCAATTAATTAATTGTGTATGCCAAGGCCTAGCCTATTAATTATATGTATGTACCGTACATGTGAATATTTTTCTTGTTCTTGCTGAAGTTTGACTTTCTTGTAGAAGTGTTTATTACAGTTGAAGAAAATAATTTTTATTTTATAATTTTTTTTTCAAAAAGTACAAAATATTTATAACTGTAATAATAATAATGGTAAACAAATCAAATATATTAAATATTTTTATTCAATTTCATTTTTAATAGTGAAAACTGTTGTTATATCTCTCTTTAAAGGTTTTCGTATAATGGAGTCCGCTGCTGATGATGTATCCGACGAAGCATCAGTTAACTTAGTTGTAGGCCATAGTCTTCAACAAGCAAGTACTTCTGCCAGTTCTGCAAGTCCAGCTTCTGATGCAGTTCAGCTCGAAAGTCCTGACAGCTTGCCTGCTACTTCACCTGCTGCCAGTAGGGACAAAGAGCCAGGTATGTACATCAACGGCACAAATATGTATTGTAAAGTGAATATTAAAATTTAAGCTAAATATTTTATCATTCATAGAGGTAAATGAAAAAGCTAAAAGTTAAAAACCAGCATTTTAAAAATGCATTAAGGTTCACTGACATCTACTTTCTAAATTCTGAAAGAAAAAAAAGAAGATACAGTAATATGTGTTTAAAATCATCAACATATTATAACTGTCAATTTTTTTTTCTTAATACAGAAATTGGACCATATTGTTCTGCAGCTGGACTGAGACCAATCCACTTTCTAAAGCAAGATGCAACTGTGTATCCAGAACTTGCCACAGATTTAATCAAGAATGGACTTGTCTTAGAACTTCATAAATTTCTAACTAAACAGGGGTACAAAGCTAATTTTGTAGTAAAAACACTCGTTAAATTATGCCCACAGGAAGATGTCAAAGAAGATGCGTTGCGTATGGCTGTGCAAAGGCTAGTGGAACATGAAAAAAAATTAGTACGAAATAAGAAAGGAGAAGCACGTGTGAAAGCTTTGAAAGAAATGAGAGATCAAGATTTCAATATGTTACGGAAAAGAATGCTAAAGGTTCCAGACACCCCAAGAAAAAAAAAAACTTAGGGCTGAACTAAAGAAGGAGAGGATTGCTCATCATGCTGTGAGAAGCAAACTTGCAATGACTGAACCAGCGCTTGATTTACTGAAGAATTATGAAGACAGGAATGAAGCCCTTGAAGAAATGCTGCATGAAGAGAGACAAGCCAAAGTCACAACACAAACCAAGAACACTACTCTCGAAGAAGAAAATAGGGACTTACAGGCATCTTTAGCTACACTTGAAGCAAAATATGCTGTTGTTATGGAAGAGCTAGATAACTTGAGCAAATTATTTGACCCAACGAAAGATGATTTAGACAAATACAGAACAGCCTATGAACATTCATCGACTGTACTTGATGATCTGGAAAATCAGTTAGCGGATGCAAAGAAAAAGTTGACCAGTTTGAATACAAGGAATGTCAACAAGAAAATTAAAAGAAGAGATGCAACTATTTCTCACTTAACACAAAAGGAAAGTAATCTTTTAGATGAAGTACAGGAACTAAAGGAAGAATTAAATGATACAAAGGCTAAACTTAATGAATCTATCATAGCAAAGCAGAAAATTGTGGAGAAGCTAAGTGCTAAAGGGAACCAAAAAAAAAAGGTAGATAAACGTGCCTGGAGACTAAAACAACAGCTGTTATGTCAAACAACAGAGTCATCATACTCAGAAGATGATGTAAAACAGCTAGAAGATCGCATAGATTTTCTAAATTCAAAAAACAAGGAACTTGAGCAGCTAATAGCACTGATGGAAGAGGATGTTATTGTAGGATTTCAAGGTGGCCGTTACAAGGATGAAGTGAGGGAAACTATAATCTCACTGCTTCAAATGAATGTTGCTATGTCTAAAGTAAATGACGTCATTCAAATTGTACTAAAGAAATTCACAGGAAAAAAAGTAGATCGGTTGCCAACTCTTGGAAAAATTTCCCAAATCAGCTTGGAGGCCAGGTATTTAGCTGACGTTGAAGTTGCTCTTGCAATGCAAGCAAACAAACCTGATGATGTCTTGGGTAATTGCATACATGGCGATGGTACAACTAAGTACCACAAGAAGTGGCAAAATTTTCAGGTTACACTACCAAATGGAGAGGCTCGTACGATGGGTCTGATGCAGATGGCTGGAGGCGACACAGAATCTGTGATGGATGCTTTTAAAGAAAGAATAATGGAGCTTGCAGATACGCTTGATACAGTGGAAGGAAGTTCTGGTAGAAAAGAACAGCTGTATGAAGAGTTGATTACCACTATAAAAAGCACAATGACTGATCAAGGCCCATCAATGCCACAGTTCAGTGCAAAACTAGAGGCGTTACGAACGAGCCTTTTACCAAAAGTGGTAAAGCACTGGGAGACCTTGCCGACAGAGGTGCAAGAAAATGTAGCAGAATTTGGGACATTTTTTTGCAAAATGCACCCCTTAATAAATTTTGCAGAAGAAATTAATAAAGTGCTTAAGTCATTGGAAGACATAACCTCCAATGGAAAAAACATACACACAATTGCCACGGCTGAAGCAGGTGTTACTCGCCTAGTTCGAACTGCAAGCAAGGCTTTCCATCATAGGGGCTCAGACCAAAGTGGGGCAGAAGATGTGTTCACCTCATACCTATCTAACCAATACAACACCCACAACCACCTTCCATACTATGTGGGGAACAGAGCGAACATTATTTTTGAGTCTGCTGCAGCAACTTATTTCCATGTAGATCACATAATAACATTTGTGCAGAGCCTTCCTGAACCAAATAAGTTGCTACAAGCTGTTGCAGAAGATGCTGGAGAAATGATTAACAGGGCAGAACTACGAGCACTGGGCATTCTCTTTAAGTGTGTTACAGCTCCATTGTGGCATCGTATTAAGAATGCAGATAACGTATTGTCATTAAATCCTACATTACATCAGCTTCAAGAAAAATTGGAAAAGTGGAAAGACGATGCTACTGATCTATTTAATGGAGAGACTGTATTTGATGATGCTGTTGTAGAGAAAGATGACATTTACGAGGCCTTATTTAAGGACTGTGATGACCCACAGATGGAAATTCTATGCATCCAAGCATTGGAACTAACTACATGTGCAATGCTCTTAATCCTTAACAGGCAATGTGCTGATCAACTTCCAGGAGGGAAATACTGGAACCTGGATGAACAGCGGACCAGCAAATACCAAAATGTCCCATCAACAAACATGATTGGGGAACGAGATTTTGCAATGTTGGACTGCCTTATTAGACAGAAGCCTAATGTGCGTTGCACCCATTTAGAAACATTGATTATGTGGTCCAACAATGGTACTAGATTATGGCTGGATGGCTTGGATCCAGAGACAAAGGCCAAATATATGGCCCAAGCAAGAGCGCATGCCCCTGAAATTCAAGAGAGATACAAGAAACGTATTCAGGAAATAAAAAAGCAGAGGTGGATTAATCTGCAAGAAAAGCAAAAGAAAAAAATTGAAAAAGAACAAAAGAAAGTGCATGACCGAGTAAAGCTGACAAATGATATAACATCGCAGGGTGGAATATGGTGCACAGAAGAAGATATTGAGCATCACTATGAAGGGCTGTGTAGAAACAACAATGATGAAACAGTAAGGCGTGCGATATACGCCCAACTAAACTTCCACCAGAAAATACTGCAAGCAAAGGCACCACTGAAAGAATACTTCCAGCTCTCAAGATCTGTAAATGGAAAACCTGTGAAATATACAAAACAGGAAATGAAAACTCATTTGGTAGAAATCATCACAGCCAATGACTTAAGTTCTGTTGCTGACAAACAGCCAGAAGAATTAATGGACATTGCTGAAGAGCAGCCTCCTGAACCAGTTAAGTACATTGATCCTGAAATTCAGAGTGGGAGCTATGCCGACCTCAAAGTCCAGCTTGCAGGTAGAATAGAGGCTGTCTCTTATACACATCTAGATGTGTATAAGAGACAGTTCGCGAACAAGGTATGTATGAAAATATATTATTATAACTACTACGTGGCGTTATTAAATTTGAGAAATAATTAATAACGAACGGTGGCTAGAGATATTAAAATGTGTCTTTCAATTGTGTGTGGCGGTTGGTGCTAGGCCCTTCGCTGCAGAGCGTAGACTTGGTGCAGTGTAATTAGACACCGCCTGAACATCGTAAATTCATCGGGTTATGAATCTTGTTACGATTCTCGTCCGATCGTGTTTTCAGGCCTAGGTTAGGTTGCATTCTATTGCTAATTATATATGGTATGTGCACAAATGCGGTGTAATTCTTATTTTAGGATTGTAATGTTTACTTAATAACTTTACTTAAGTTAATGTTAATGTTTTAGGTCTATCATTTTTGATGTTTTCTAAAGCGGTTCACGCCTGTCTCTTATACACATCTAGATGTGTATAAGAGACAGCATTTGTACTACGAATACAAAAAAAAA